AGCTGGAGTGGACTTGCAAAGAGAACATAACAGCATGAATTAGAGCTTCAAATACTGGGAATAGTCACATTTTTTAAATGCAAAATGAGCGAGGAGACCAGCAAAGTGCTAAGCAGAGATAGTGCTACTTTTCGGCTTCTCAAAGTTTTATTACAGGATAGTTGAGGTGGGAAGAGACCTCTTCCAATCATCTAATCCAACCCCTGCTCAAAGCGGGGCCACCAAGAGCCCAGGGCTGTGTCCAGTCACGTGTTGAATATCTTCAAGGGTGGAAGATACAGTCAGCCTCTCCGGGCAGCCTGTGCCTGTGTTTGACCGATCTCACAGTAAAAGTGTTTTCACTTTTTTGTTCAGATGGAGTTTGAGGTTTCTCGTTTGTGCCCACGGCCTGTTGTCCTGTCAGCAGGCTCTGCTGAGATGGGCCTGGCTCCCACTTCTCCATTCCCTCCTTTCACGTATCCATGCGCACTGATGGGATATCCTAAGGAGGAGTTAGTCTTCCTTGCTATGGACATCCCCTCTGGTCTCAGGCACGTGGGATTTCTGAAGACTGGTCTTACCAGTGAAGTCTGAGGTGAAGGTGGCCTTGGCCTTGTTTGGAGACAAGAGACAAGTTCTCTAGACTTGGTCTACAGAACAAGTCATACAAGGAGAGACTGAGGGAACCAGGGCACATTTAGTTTGGAGAAGAGGAGGCTGGAGGAGGGAGCTGGGCACATTTAGTTTGGAGGAGACTGAGGGGAGACCTCATTGCCCTCTACAACTCCCTGACAGGAGGTTGTAGAGGGGTGGGTGTTGGCTTCTTCTCCCAAGAGGAAATGGTCTGAAGTTGGGGCAGGGGAGGTTTAGATCAGATATTAGGAAGAATGACGTTACTGAGAGGGTGGTCAGGCACTGGAACAGCCTGTCCAGGGAGGTGGTGGAGTCACCATCCCTGGAGGGATTTAAGAAACGTGTAGACATGGCACTTCAGGGCATGCTCTAGTGCCTGAGATTGTTGGGTTGGGTGTTTTGTTTTGTATTTGGTGGTGTGTTGGTGCGTGGTTGGTTGGTTGGTTTGTTTTTTGGTTTTGGTGTGTGGGGTTTTTTTTTGTGTCTGGTTGGACTCAATGATCTCAAAGGTCCCTTCCAACCCTGAAGATTCTGTGGTTGTCTGTGTCCTGTGTCACCAGCCTCTCCCTGCTGCATTTAGCAGAGGGGTCACATTTTCCTCAGTCTTCCTTTTACTCTTTATGTACTTATTGAAATGTTTTTGGTTGCCCTTCACATCCCTTGCTGGATCATGAGTGTGTCCTTGCAAAAGCTGGCATCTATCAATAATAACATGAGTCTCTTGCAGGATGCAGTAGAACGTTACCAAACATCAGCAGCAGCTGCACGTGCATTTACTAAGGATAATGTTCCTGCTGTGGGGTGGCCTGAAAAATCTCTGCTGCTAAAAATCAGAGTATCCTGGGATGACACAGTTGCTCCACGCATCCTCGTCTTCACCTGGATCCATCCATGGCTGAGGTACAACGGGAAACTCAGGTGAGCTGTTCAGTTTTGGAAATTTTTATTATGGCGTTGAGAACAAGTACTGAATAATTTGTTCATTTCCGGAGTTTGTTCCAGTGGTTTTTAACTCAGCCTGCTTACTAATGTGGGTATTTTCTGTTTCATTCTATTTATTTGTTGAGTGCAAGCGTGAGCGTGCTGCTTCTAACTGCGTAACAGAGAATGAATACGGGGTGGAAGGGTCACAGTCAGGGTGACATTTTGTGCTTCAAGCAGCGCTTCTGTGTCCCACAGATCCTGGATGCAATAACAATGATGTGAAAAGTTCAAAGAGAATTTCTGAGCCTCTGGCCTTGTTTGCCTCAGAAGTTTTTTAAACACTTGCCAAGAGAAACTTCTCTCCGTGAACGTGACGGATGCGTGTTACCAGATTGCAATCGGGCCCTTGTGTATTTTCGAGCCTGCTTAAACCTGGCTAAAAATCACTCTTAAGAATAATGAAATATCTCCTGGTTACGTGGAGTTACCCCGTGCCCTGTTCCTCAGGTCAGCGAGAGCAGCTCTCCTCTGACCAGGCAGGCATTCTTTCTTACCTGGTTAAGTCCAGTCTCTCTTACCCTACAACACCTATTTAAAATACACCAGATGACTCGCCCAGAAAAGGGGTCTCTCCTTATTTCTCTCCAGAAAAGGGGTCTCTCCTTATTTCTCTCTGTGGGCAATACAGGAACCAGAGATGGCTAGTTCAGCCGCCGACCTCTGCAGTTTGAATTCCTAAACAGTAGGCAGGTGAACCCAGCTTCAGGGCTAGTAGTTGCTACTGTCAAGCAGTGCTGCTAGAAAGCATTTGTTGACTAAAAAGAGAATTTCTCTGCAGAGTCTCAGGCCTTGGATTTTATAAAATAATCAGTTTAATTCGAAGTCACAGCAGCAAGGACAGCCTGGGCTGGGCGCCTCTGAAGAGAGATCTTGAACAAAGAAATCCTGGAGTGATTTTTTTTGTCCCTCACATTTGCCCCTCAGGCACTCTTCACGTGTTGTCCATGTGTCTTTTAGTTCAGTGCTGACTCTTGGTCTGGGGTCTTGTAACACCTTACTGGATTCTTTTTTCTGTGTCTGGGCAGGCAGGCTCTTACCTTGTTGATTTGCAGTTTCATCCGAGGGTTGGAGTCTCCTTATCTTCTGGTTTATATTCCTTGTGCACCCCCACTCACTGGAGAACTGAAGAGTCCCAGTCTTGGGAAAAACAGTACCAAAACATCAGGACAATAGCAATATCTTCCCCATACTAAAAGATGAAAAGCAGCACTGTACCAGCTGCTAGGAAAATTACTAATAAAAACAAGTCTATTGCAGCCTACAGGCTTCCGCAAATCTAGCTGCTACTGCTAAGTAAAGCTAAGCAAACAGCATAAATCAAACCATGTTACGATCCTAAGTAATTTATTCTAACTAAAACTTAGTATTTATGCTAAACAACTAATATCCCTCAAGACCTGAGCTTGCTGGTGGTGGTGCATCCCCATTACATCACATATGGATGGAAATAGTTTCCATCTCTCTTTTCTGTTAGTCTTTGTAATAAGCATTTGTGTATGGTTTTGTAGAATCATAGAATTGTCCAGATTGGAAGGGACCTTTAAGATCATCTAGTCCAACCATCAACCTAACTGATAAAAAACCATCACTAAACCATGTCTCTAAGCACTATGTCAACCCGTCTTTTGAACACCTTCAGGGATGGTGCCTCAACCCCTTCCCTGGGCAGCCCATTCCAAGGCTTAAGAACCCTTTCTGTGTAGAAATTTTTCCTAATATCCATCCTGAACCTCTCCTGGTGCAACTTAAGGCCATTTCTTCTTGTCCTATCACTTGTGAATTGGAAGAAGAGACTGTCCCCTGCCTCTTTACACCCTCCTTTCAGGGAGTTGGAGAGAGCAAGAAGGTCTCCCCTCAGCCTCCTCTTCTCCAGGCTCAACACCCCCAGCTCCCTCAGCCTCTCCTCATAAGACTTCTTCTCCAGACCCCTCACCAGCTTTGTTGCCCTTCTCTGGACCTGCTCCAGCACCTCAATGTCTTCTTTTGTGGTGAGGGGCCCCGTTTTATGCCACTGACTCTGCCTGTACAGTTTCTGCTGTTGCACCCTTCTAAAGCTAGAAAGGCAATATTTCATAATTAACATATTTCATGGCAGGGGGGTTGGAACTAGATGATCTTTAAGGTCCCTTCCAACCCAAACCATTCTATGATTCTGTTATTCTTTGATTAGAGACAATAATTTCACTGGCTTTGACAGAAGAGCTGAACGTGGGTGACATTCTGGTCGGGGTGTCTAGACAGGATCATAGCTCTATGTGCCCTGTTAGTAGCATGGTGGTCATTAGCTGTAAAATAATGAGGGGAAACCTCGTACTGCACAGAAGAAGCGGGTATCTGTTACTGTGGTACCGTGTTTTAAATACATCAGGAATCGCTCGCTGCGTTGAGATCCATGCTGGAAGTTGGCTAACTGAATTTCTTCTTTTTTTTTTAATCATAAGCAGGGGAAGTTGACATCTGGCCTCAGCATTCAAATGGAAAGTTGTGAAACCACAGCAGTTGTTGCGTTTGGAGAAAAAGACTAACTAAAAAACCCCGAGACTTGGAAAACTTACTTCGTGACTCGCAACGTGGGATTCATCAGGAGAACGTGCCGTGCCACGCAGCCACAGACACACTAGTGATGCCAACACACGAGCTCGCGTTGAGGCTTGGAGGTAAGAGGGGTATTTTACATTTAGTTAAACATTCTGCAATTTTCAAATTAATCTAATGGGACACGGGAAAAGAGCTGCTATGGAAATAAAACATTTCTACACCCAGTGCTATGCACTCAGTGAGAAAGGTAGCACTCAGCCGTGCCAGAGACAGGGATGTCCATGATTTGGACTGTAACATCAGGCAGCTCGTGTAAGACAAAGCAATGGGGCGCACACAGTTGTGTTGTCATCAGAGGAGTTTGCTCTGCCCGAGAGGAGATCAAAGCCTTATTTCTGTTTTTAAATAACGGGTTTTTCTAAATTGCCACAAAAACCATGCAGCCAAAGTTTGTTTGGAATTTTTAAGTGTTGTGTAATCACAGAATGATCTGGGGTTGGAAGGGACCTCTGGAGATCATCTTATCCAACCCCCCTGCCAAAGCAGGTCTACCCAGAGCAGGTTCCACAGGAACATCTCCAGGTGGGTTTGGAATGTCTCCAGAGAAGGAGACTCCACCACCTCTCTGGGCAGCCTCTTCCAGGGCTCTGCCACCCTCAAAGTGAAGAAGTTCCTCCTCATATTTAGATGGAACTTCTTGTGTTCAAGTTTGTGCCCGTTACCTCTTGTCCTGTCACTGGGCACCACTGGAGAAAGACTGTCCCCATCCTCCTGACACCCACCCTTTGAGTATTTACAGGCATTGATCAGATCCCCCCTCGGTCTTCTCTTCTCCAGACTAAAGATCCAAATCGCTCAGCCTTTCCTCATAAGGGAGATGCTCCAGGCCCCTCATCACCTTTGTAGCCCTAAATGTAAGTAGAACGTAAGTTACTTTGTCTTCCTGTGCATGTGTTTTTGCATTATTCACATCTCCTTTGGCTCATCTTTGGGTCTTGAGTGAGCTGGGCTTCAGGGACATGGTGAGTCCAGCACTTAGAGCAGCACTTAGGAGAACACAGGAAAAGCCAGGAGCTGCTGATCCAGAGTTCAGGTTGCCACTTCCAATCTGATTAAAAAAAGCAAGATGCACAACCTGACAGATTTAGCACATGCACAGAGAAAAATGTGTTTGTGACAGCATTTGTTTTTCAGCATAAAAACCCCATCCACGGCTGCCCAGTGGGTCTGGTGATTCGTCCAAGTCGGGTGCTGGTCGGGATGATCCAGGTGAGTTCAGCGCCGGGATGAGCTGGTGGCAGCGACGCTACGGCCACAGCCTGGCTGGCCACAGCTTGGCTTCTGCAAGCCATTAGTGGCTGTAAATATTGCAACTCGCTTTCTCCTGCCAGAGGAACTGAACCTTGGGGCTTGGGGAGGAAGAATGGCTTGGGGAAGAATGGCTGGAGAGCTGCCTGGCAGAAAAGGACCTGGGGGTGTTGGTCGACTGTCGGCTGAACAGGAGACAGCAGTGTGCCCAGGTGGCCAAGAAGGCCTGGTCTGTATCAAGAACAGCGTGGTGAGTAGGACTCAAGAGGTGATTGTCCCCCTGTACTGGGCACTGGTGAGGCCTCACCTCGAGGGCTGTGTCCAGTTTTGGGCCCCTCACCACAAAAAAGACATTGAGGTGCTGGAGCGGGTCCAGAGAAGGGCAACAAAGCTGGTGAGGGGTCTGGAGGACAAGTCTTATGAGGAGAGGCTGAGGGAGCTGGGGGTGTTCAGCCTGGAGAAGAGGAGGCTGAGGGGAGACCTTATTGCGCTCTATAACTACCTGAAGGGGGGGTGTAGAGAAGGGGGGGGTTGGTCTCTTCTCCCAAGTCACAGGAGAGAGGACAAGGGGAAATGGCCTCAAGTTGCACCAGGGGAGGTTAAGGATGGATATTAGGAAAAATTTCTTCATGGAAAGGGTTCTTAAGCCTTGGAATGGGCTGCCCAGCAAAGGGGTTGAGGCACCATCCCTGGAGGTGTTCAAAAGACGGGTTGACATGGTCCTCAAGAATATGGTTTAGTGTGGTGTGGTGGGTTTTTTTGGTGTGTTGTTTTTTTTTTTTTCCTTATTTCTTATTTATTTTTTTGTCAGAGTAAGGTTGATGGTTGGACTAGATGATCTTTAAGGTCCCTTCCAACCTAGAGGATTCTATGATTCCATGATTCTCCTGGTGGTGGGTGGTGGATAACGTCGATGACTAACTCGGGAGCTGCTCCTGGTGCCCTGACCAGGAGGATCCAGAGTGGTGCTCCCCCAGAGGAAAATCAATCGATGGGGTGCATTTTGGAATGCAACAATCCAGAGACATCCTTCTGTCCTCACACATGTATAGCTGGGCAGGGCTGCGTTTAAATTACACAACATCAAACAGTCTCAAAGATTTCTTGCAATCAAAGAAATCCAAAGTTAATACTTTTAACTCCCAGAATTCGAATTCTTCGCTAAAATGAATCACTAAATTCTCCACAATGGCCAAATGTGCTCTTCCTGAAAAGGCTGATGCAGACCCTGATACGGGGTGAGATAAATATATTTATACACATACATGTGTATATTTGTGTGTATATATATGTGTATGTATGTGCATGTGAATATATCTTTATATATATTTACTAATGTTACTCCTGCTGCTGTTCAAAAATTGATTAGAAATGCTCCTGGTGCCCTGACCAGGAGGAACCAGAGTGGTGCTCCCCCAGAGGAAAATGAACCACTGCTGATGGGGTGCATTTTGGAATGCAACAACCCAGAGACATCCTTCTGTCCTCACACACGTATAGCCAGGCAGGGCTGTGTATAAATTACACAACATCAAACAGTCTCATCCTGTGCCTTTGATTGCTGCTTGCAATCAAAGAAATCCAAAGTTAAAAATATTAACTCCCAGAATTTGGATTCTTTGCTAAAATGAATCGCTAAATTCTCCACAATGGCTCTTCCTGAAAAGGCTGATGCAGACCCTGACGCAGGGTGAGATAAATATATTTATACACATACATGTGTATATTTGTGTGTATGTTTATGTGTATGCATGTATATATGCGCAAGTGAATATATCCTAATATATATTTACTAACATTACTCCTGCTGCTGTTCAAAAATTGATTAAAAAGTAAATTTATACACCAAAGAGTAGCAACAAGCCATCCACTCATTCTGCTGTCAGCAAAGGAGCAGAATTGTAGGTCACCTGAGTTGAAGAGCCAGGCTTCCATTTGAAACCCACCACGCCAGCATGGGTGAGAAGGCTCTGCAAAGAACCCTCTGGTTCTGCTGTACATCCTAACCTGCTAATTATTCAATTTGATCCTCTGGGATTAATCAGAAGTGCTTGAGAAGAATGCTGGTTTAGGAGGAGAATCACGACTGGAAAAACCAGATGGAAAGCCTTTGGATGTGTTGCAGCTGATGCTGAGCTCCAAGCACGAAGAAGCAAACGGAGACAACTTGCCAAATACAACAAAAAGCGTTTGCCAAAACTCAGGGGTGGCTCTTTGCAGCCAGAATCTATAGGATCATTAAGTACTGTCAGAGTTATGGAACCATCAACACCCTTGGGCTCAGGTTACTCTCCTCACTGGACCTGGCCAAACGAAGCAGAAAGGGGCTTTGAGGTAAGCAAATCAGAGAATACTTTCAGGGAAGAATAGATTTATTCCATTTTAGGAATGGACTGAGATCTCATTAACAGGTACCTGTTAATAAAACAGATTGGAAAGTCATTTATAGGTTCATAGATACATATGCCTGTATATAATAATCAGAACTGTGCTCTTACGTATATGTTGAAGAGCACAGTTCTGACCATTTAAGGAAAAATTCACAGTTAACAACCTTTATATACCTCACAGTAAGGTTACTGCATTATTTGATGAGTTCTTGCATCCTCAGGAAAGGCTATCCTTTAATTTTTTTATCCTCTTTTATGTCCTAGGAATCGTAAGGAAAACCCCACCCTTTTATAGGAGCGTTTAACTTTTTCAACATTTGACTGTTGCCCTTTGGGTAAGTCTTCTTCAAAATGTCTAGAATGAATGTTTTTGACCGTAGCTTTGCTCTTTTTGAAGAATGCAGAATGGGGGGTGCATGGAGTTGTGTAGCAGCAACGTGCTAAAATGAGAAAATGCTTTTCCCTTCCTTCTAATAACAGTAGAGAGTCCAAGTAAAAGCTAAAGAACTTATTAATCATAAAAGCTGTTGGGGAAGAATAGATTTATTCCGTTTTAGGAATGGACTGAGATCTCGTTAACAGGCACCTGTTAATAAAACAGATTGGAAAGTCATTTATAGGTTCATAGATACATATGCCTGTATATAATAATCAGAACTGTGCTCTTACGTATATGTTGAAGAGCACAGTTCTGACCATTTAAGGAAAAATTCACAGTTAACAACCTTTATATACCTCACAGTAAGGTTACTGCATTATTTGATGAGTTCTTGCATCCTCAGGAAAGGCTATCCTTTAATTTTTTTATCCTCTTTTATGTCCTAGGAATCGTAAGGAAAACCCCACCCTTTTATAGGAGCGTTTAACTTTTTCAACATTTGACTGTTGCCCGTCAGAGTTATGGAACCATCAACACCCTTGGGCTCAGGTTACTCTCCTCACTGGACCTGGCCAAACGAAGCAGAAAGGGGCTTTGAGGTAAGCAAATCAGAGAATACTTTCAGGGAAGAATAGATTTATTCCATTTTAGGAATGGACTGAGATCTCATTAACAGGTACCTGTTAATAAAACAGATTGGAAAGTCATTTATAGGTTCATAGATACATATGCCTGTATATAATAATCAGAACTGTGCTCTTACGTATATGTTGAAGAGCACAGTTCTGACCATTTAAGGAAAAATTCACAGTTAACAACCTTTATATACCTCACAGTAAGGTTACTGCATTATTTGATGAGTTCTTGCATCCTCAGGAAAGGCTATCCTTTAATTTTTTTATCCTCTTTTATGTCCTAGGAATCGTAAGGAAAACCCCACCCTTTTATAGGAGCGTTTAACTTTTTCAACATTTGACTGTTGCCCTTTGGGTAAGTCTTCTTCAAAATGTCTAGAATGAATGTTTTTGACCGTAGCTTTGCTCTTTTTGAAGAATGCAGAATGGGGGGTGCATGGAGTTGTGTAGCAGCAACGTGCTAAAATGAGAAAATGCTTTTCCCTTCCTTCTAATAACAGTAGAGAGTCCAAGTAAAAGCTAAAGAACTTATTAATCATAAAAGCTGTTGCTAGGTTATGCTTATGGAGGTCTATTTTATCGTTCATGATTTAAATAAAATCTATATGAGTGTAAGGCAATGAAAGGCTGAGGGACTTGGGTCTTTTTAGTCTGGAAGGAGAAGGCTAAGAGGGGATCTGATCAACTTAAAGGGTGGGTGTCAAGAGGATGGGGCCAGTCTTTCTTCAGTAGTGCCCAGTGACAGGACAAGAGGCTCTGGGCACAAACTGGAACATAAGAAGTTCCACCTAAACATGAGGAGGAACTTCTTCCCTTTGAGAGTGGCAGAGCCCTGGAAGAGGCTGCCCAGAGAGGTGGTGGAGTCTCCTTCTCTGGAGACATTCCAAACCCACCTGGACACCTTCCTGTGCAACCTGCTCTGGGTAGCCCTGCTTTGGCAGGGGGTTGGACTAGATGATTTCCAGAGGTCCCTTCCAACCCCATATCATTCTGTGATTCTGTAAAGTAAAGTTATTCTAAAGGCTTTAATGCGTATATTGCAAAAAAGGTGCTCTAAAGCAAGAAACTCATGTAAATGGGCCCAGGGCTTCCTAGAAATAGTGGTTGTGCTGAAAAGTTTTTAAATATACTTTGTTGTGCATGAAAGAAAGACCTGAAAAAGTGTCATAAAACTCAGGAAGGATGGATAAATAACACTTAACCTTTCAATCAGGGTTCGTACATGCAAGCTGCTCTAGTGGGAGGTGTCCCTGCCCAGGGCAGGGGGGTTGGAACTAGATGATCTTTAAGGTCCCTTCCAACCCCAACCATTCTATGATTCTGTAAGTGCTGATTTCATGCCCTCTTGCAGAACTCTTACCTTCAGAGATCCCAGCTCCTGTTGGACTCAAAAACCCCTTGGGAAGCATGAACCCAGAATCCCTCTCTCTTGGTTGCTCAGGTATGTTCCCCTGTGGTTGATCCACTGCTGGGGGTGTGCAAATGGGGGGGCATTGCTGTCCCCTCTGCTGGGAAGGGCCCAGCAACTAAACAAACTGAAGCAGAACCGAAGCATCTCTCCCCAGCCAGCTCCTGACCTTAACTCTGCTGTTCAGCAGACACGAAAGTAATGTTTTGTGTTATAAAATCAACAAAGTGGCTTGTGCTGCTTTGAAGTGCCCTGGTGCTCTCTCCATTCCTCCTTAAGCTGACCCAGATTGCCACGCAGAGGGGGGCGGATCGTTAGCACTTATGTGGAAAACTCTGAAACCTGTATTAAATTTGTCCCCATTAGGTACAGATTTCGTAACTTTCCAGTAAAACTGGGCTTGGTTTCTTCCATCTTTTCTCGTGGTTCGTTTGAATTCTAAAGCGTTAAGTAATTAGTTTCTTCATTCCTCTGAGGTTGTTAGAGATCTTGAGAAAACCTACAAAATATTGAAGTCCTTTTGTTCATCCAGGAAAAGGAACTTCAGCCCCTTACACTCTGGATGCTGGACTTAACCATCAAGAATTTAGATGATACAAAATCTCATTGATTCTGTACATACTGAACATAACCAGTCAAAACCTTCCCTCTTTTTCTAGCAAGTGCTGGACAACTCACATGTGAATTTAAAAATCTCTGGGCTTAAATTCTGCCTTTTACAGATTACAATATTGAGGCAGCTTTTTTTGGTATTGTCTTTCATTGAAGAAAATATATAGTGATATTTCATTTTTTTAGAGCTGTGAATACTCTGGTCCACAAAAATGTACTTTTAAACTCATAACTTATTTTTCCAGTATGGCATGTATGTATGTATTTCTCTTAAGACATTTAAAATTCCTTTCATTTTAGTAGTCATGGGATTGCTCCAGCTGAATGCCAAGCAAGCTAACAGGCTACATGTTGAAGAGTTACTTGCTAATGAGTTGGAAAAATTAAGGAATTCAAGAGACCAGCTGAATTGCTTGCAGTTTCTGGTGAGATCATCTAAGGCCGTTTCAGTTCAGAAAAAGCTTTTCAAATCCATCCAAGTTTCTAAAGGATCCACAGAAGAAATGCCAGAAACATGGATTATCAAGGTATTTGACAAGTTCTTTGTATCCAGACTGTGATGATTATGTGTGTGAGTCTTCTTGGTGTTATTTGTAGTGACAGGATGAGGGGTAACAGTTTTAAACCGAAAGAGGGGAGATTTAGATTAGATAGTAGAAAGATTCTTTGCTGTGAGGGTGGTGAGACACTGGGACAGGTTGCCCAGAGAAGCTGTGGCTGCCCCATCCCTGGAGGGGTTCAAGGCCAGGCTGGATGGGGCTTGGAAATCCATCCAAGTTTCTAAAGGATCCACAGAAGAAATGCCAGAAACATGGATTATCAAGGTATTTGACAAGTTCTTTGTATCCAGACTGTGATGATTATGTGCGTGAGTCTTCCTGGTGTTATTTGTAGTGACAGGACAAGGGGTAACAGTTTTGTGAGTCTTCTTGGTGTTATTTGTAGTGACAGGATGAGGGGTAACAGTTTTAAACCGAAAGAGGGGAGATTTAGATTAGATAGTAGAAAGATTCTTTGCTGTGAGGGTGGTGAGACACTGGGACAGGTTGCCCAGAGAAGCTGTGGCTGCCCCATCCCTGGAGGGGTTCAAGGCCAGGCTGGATGGGGCTTGGAGCAACCTGGTCTGGTGGGATTAATACATGTAAGTATTAATTTACATGCATGTGACACAGATTTGGTAAAAGCCCCCTTGAAATGTAGTTTATTTGGAAACACTAAACTGTGTGAGTCACCAACGTATGTAACCACAGTTGATATTAAGTGTTAATTTGAGAGAGAAAGAAAAACATATACCATATTGCATAATTCTTTAAAATTACATGTATCCATATACAAGGACACACGACAGAGTGTTTTATTAAAATAAAAAGCTTTAATACTTTTGCATTTAGAAGATTTAGCAGAAAATAATTGCTACAAACATGCTACAACAACATACATGTTGAAAAAGTTTTCAGTGCTTTCTTTCAAAGTTCAGCGTTTTGGCAAAAATAAGTTTTTCTTTATATACTTCAAAAGTTGGCTATCATAATACTGATATAAAATACTTCATGTAGACTAAGGTCAGGTGCATAAAATACAATAAGTAATAAAACATACTGTTCGTATAAACATTTAAAGTATAAATTTCATTAGATAACATGCAAATACTGCAATATTTTAAATGGCACTTAAATACAGATGCTGAGATTCTTTATACTTTTGCATCCAATATGAGATTCTGAAATGTACAAAACTATAAAAAGAACATATTTCTTCATTGAAGTCAGGTACTAGTCTAGAGCTTGATTGTCATTTTACAAGTGCTGAGCCCCGTGTCCTGCAAATCTTCACTAGTCCAAGTAAAGACGTCTACTGAAATAGGCTCAGGGCTAGTTAGTTTTCTTCATAATAAAATATGAAAGCATATTTACACGAGAATAAACTCTTAAATTTTTGGTAAGGTAATTAAGTAGCAGCAATTCTTTTTTTTTCTTCCAAAAATGATGTTTAAGATATGTGCATGCTTTTTGTTGTCACCGATAATGCATCTGAATAATATAACATTAACATTCTTCAATAGACTCAAACCACTATTCTGTTCATTGCTGAAAAAAACTCTGTAAGATCCCTTCTTGCAAAACATCATAGATCCATAATGTCAGAACCTTCCAGAGTATTTTTTTATGTTTCCAAGATCAACGGAAAACAATCTAATTGTGCTGAAACAGTCATCTGCCTAGTAATGAACAAAAGAATCATCTTTTCACATTATTCCAAATACTTCTAGTACTTCATTGAAAAATATTAGTTCATCAGATCTTCTACAATTTGTGTTTTCTGGTTCAGTGGATCAACAATTCCGAATGTCCTTCACAATATAAAACACCTCAATACTTACGCGTGTTTTCTAAGCAGTTTATATATAATATATTAATCCTGACAAGGTGAATAAAAGGCTGAGGAAGAGGGAGTGCAGAACAGGCACCACTTGAACACAAGGAGAAGAAATGCTGAAGGAAACTTGTACTTGAGATGCAATTAGAGCTGACAGCGGTACGTGGGACGCTAACGTTGGACTGTCCGAATTTATCAGTGACTCTATCTTTTCTGCTTCTTTATTGCAGGCTTCAATCTAAGGAAAAAAGAAACAGAGGAAGTTATTATTACTCTTCTTGCCATGCTGATGTGAAAACGGTGCTAGACAGCAAACTCCAGGAAAGAAAAACCTCAGTTATTCCCATCAGCACGTAAGACTTATATCATTTTTTGGGGTATTTCTTAGAAAACACATCAGAGCTCTTCTCGTAGACTTTGGTACTATGAACACTAGTGTGGAAGCTCCAAGCAGTAGCTAAAGGGAAGGAAGGAAGGAAGCTACACACAAGTTATTGTGGGTGATGTGTTTTGAATGTTGATGCCAAAAAGCTCACAGTAAATTATAACTAAAGTGCCTCTAAAACTGAGGACTTCCTTCCTGATTGACTGAGATCCCGCCTTGAAGGCTGCAAGTGAAAAAAAATCAGAATTTTCTCCTTAGTGGAGAAAATTTCCTTCTGAATCAGGGAAAATTGATTTGTTTTAGGGGAAGGGAAGGGAAGAGTGGTAGCAATAGGAAAACCCGAGAAAACCCAGGTTTCCATTCCTCCACTGACATGATGATAATTATGAATTAATGTTAGAAAATTCCATTTTTTCCACCTTACTTTCTCCTGCAAGCCAGGAATCAATTTAGTGTTAAGTTTCCTTTAACAGCTTTGGAAGCTGCCTCTGGTGAATTGACAAACTCAATTATCTGGATGCCCAAAGCTTGGAAAGTTGAGGAACTTCTAGCTCAGCAACGGGTGTCACCAGTGAGATGAGCAGCTCCTCCTTGGTTTCAGGTGGCCTCTCCTGGGCCACCAGAAATCAGAGTCAGACAGCCCCTGCTGCAGATGGAGTGAGAGCTCACCAGGTTGATGAGGCTCAACATTTTGCTTCCTAAGCCCTGGTACCATTTTTGGGCTATTTCTGCTAAAGGAGGAGACGTGAGTTGGACATAGCAGGGTTGCTCCAGTAGCGTGGGCAAAGAGAAATACACACAATATATACAGCTATAAAATGGCAAGAAATTATGTTCCTTCTAATAGGAAGCAGATATCCTCACTGGGCTTGCACAGGTTAACAAGCAGAAAGTAAAAATGAAGCAACAGCTCCAAGACAACAATAATAACAATGCAACACACAGCCAAATCATTGCTTCTGTTGCTCTGAAGTGCTCCTCAGAAAAATGTGAGAACTTTGAACTGCACTTTTGGTTTACCTTTAGAGCTCAGTACTGTGAGCGTTAGGTTCTTGTTTGCCAGCATGAACCTGCTGTGACACAGGAAGCCGGGCAGCTTATTGTAATGTTATTTCCTTTTTAAGGTCCTAACAGCATTTTAGGATCTCTCAGCACTTAAGGTAAGTGGGAAGGAGTATCCAAACCAGGATGGTCTCAGACAACAGTTCCAAGACAGTAATACTAACACAATTCACAGCCAAATCATTGCTTCTATTGCTGTGAACTGCTCCTCAGAAAACATTGAGAGAACTTTGAGCTGCACTTTTGGTTTACCTTTAGAGTTCTTGTTTGCCAGCATGAACCTGCTGTGACACAGGAAGCCGGGCAGCTTATTGTAATGTTATTTCCTTTTTAAGGTCCTAACAGCATTTTAGGATCTCTCAGCACTTAAGGTAAGTGGGAAGGAGTATCCAAACCAGGATGGTCTCAGGACATCCTCTTTGGTGTGAGCTACTCTTTAACATCAAGACACGCACAACGTATTAACATGGTATCAATATGTAGCATGTGCTTCTGCCTAATATCATATATATTTCAATTTACTTTTAACCATTACACCACTGGAGGCAAAGGAGTACCATTTCATACGCAGGTGTGCATTTAATATAAAATTAATATTAAATGTAGATGTCATTCAGTAATTTATTTTCATCAATTTGCATTTTCTGTTATTTTAGCCATAGAAAGATGAGGGTTCTGTATTTATTAATTTTAAAACAAAAGTCATACTATTCTATCCTTGGCCTTCCTTCAGCTCTCTCCTCTAACTACCCACACTCCAAAAGCCTCTTGTCAGAAAAGGAGGAGTCTCAAGACACATTTTACCATCCATAATTTTAGCTATTTGAATTTGAATCACTAGAGAAATCCCTGTGTACTCAGTGCACAGGAAAACACACAGTTTTAAAACTGCTCTACTGAAAACAGTGAAGTGTACACATATAAAAATGAAGTAAATCCACACTGGGTAAACAAAATAATAAGAGAGCCTACCTGCAGTGGTTTGGGGTTCTGATCCACGGGAATGATGAGAATGACAATTTCGGATTCTATGCTCAGGTATCCAAACACATCACACTGTGGCACCGAGACGTGCAGGCGGATCTTTTCAAGTATGTCAAGTACTGTTATAGGCTTTTTATTTGTTACCTGGAAGAAAACAAACAAACTTCGTGGATGATGTGATATTATTCAAAACGACATCCCTCTTCTTCAAATTTAATAACGTTATGTCATGCCAGAAAATTTGTTTCAGCCATTTAAACTACTCAGTTCTAATCTCTAGTAAAAAACAAAACAAACCAAAACCAACCCCCCCAAAACATAAAAGAAGCAAAAGGAAGAAGCAGAGAAAATGTTTTACTTCTTAAATTAACCATGGTTTTGATATGTCCTGTTCTCCACCTTCATGGTTCGTGTGTAAATGTATCATGTACCTCAAAATCATGTAAATGGTTATTTTTTGCTTGTATTCCCATGTATTCCAGGCTTGTATTCCCTGCTGGGAAACAAGGAGGCAGAGCAGCCCTACCAGCTGGCACCCCTTTGCCGTCACAGAACCTGTTCCAGGAGCCACCAGAAACAAAAAGCTACAGCTTTACAAAAACAGGGATATATGTCTGTAGATATGGGAATACATGACGTTTCAAGATCACTACATAACTACCAGGTAAATATACTTTTCTCTTAAAATTAATTCTTATCTCTCTTCTGCTGTCTGTATCCGACAACGAATAATTTGATTGTAGATGCTCAGTCTGTGTAAAAACTGCCACAGCTTAAAGGTTTTTCACCTTTTTCCAGGTCACTTCTGGATGTGTTGAACAGTACGGACGCCAACACAAATAGTTTACTTGTGACTTCTGGTCATTGAAGCTTCCAAACAACAGAGCTTCAGTCAAACTTCTGTAATTTCTAGTATTTGCTAAACACTTGAAAAGTTTTGAAATCACAAATTTTAACCGTAAAGATGTATATACATGTATTTATATATGAGGTCTGAAAACTTGAAGACTGTGGTGGCAAAGGGAAGAAAAAAAAGAAAGAAAAAACAACTACTAAATACTGCAATGCAGGTATTAGGGTGCTCAGTAGGTGAGAGCAGAGTAGTTGAGTTGTCACCAACTACCTGAATAACTACTTGAGCAAGTCCAATAAATGTCTTTAACGAGAAAGCTGCCTTCTAACTAAAACTAAAAATTCTTCTCCACAGCCACATGTTGTGATGTATGAAGTGGGAGGCTGCTCTGGTCACCGTGTCCCTGATACAGAGAGGTGACAACTGGAAGATATTCCAGGATGCAGTCGTGACCTAAGACTCAGCAAAATTGGTCAACGTGTGCACACACACACAGACACACACACAGTTTCTGAGAGGAAATCAGCAGAACACCCTTGAGATGAAAGCCAACCACATGCTGGTTTCTGAGAGGAAATCAGCAGAAGACCCTTGAGATGAAAGCCAACCACATGCTGGGGCTGCAGCAGCAGGAACAGAGCCAGCAGAAGTCATCCTCCCCCTTTATTTACACACTCCCCACGCCCCCCTCCCACACTGACCAACTGGAGAGACCCCAGCGGCGTTGGGCTGGTGGAATCTCCACTCCTGCAGGTTTTAAAAACTCAGCTGGCCAAGCTGATCTAACCTTGCTTTATGCAGGGGGTTGGGCTAGAGCCCTCCAGGGGTCCTCTTCAAGCTCATTTTTTTCTGTGGTTTTACAACAATAGCTGACTGTCTCTACTTCTAAACATATAAATAGGTTAATGTAATTTTATACTGTTTGGGGGAAATGCTCTTTCTTCTTGATATTTAAATAAAAAAAAAAAAATTGTGTGCAGATGCAAACCTGAATTGTTTTGCTTCACTAGGCATCACAGTCCTACTGCTCTATTTTGTTGTGATGTCTTGCCAAAAATCAAGTGTTCTGCTCTGTGCCACTACTGAAGCATAAAAGCAGGGTCAATCAAGTGCAGTCCTTTCATACACCACATGGAGAGCCTGGGCCTAGCGTGTTGTGTCCAGTGACAGACAACATCAGAAGATCCAGCTTATGCTGAAGGTTTCCAAAAAGCTGCAGTGAAGGATCATAGAATCATAGAATGGTTTGGGTTGGGAGGGACCTCAAAGATCATTGAGTTCCAGCCCCCCTGACATGGGCAGGGACACCTCCCACTAGAGCAGGTTGTCTAACTTAGGATGCAGGTGTCTAACTTAGATGTTAAATTAAAACCCAACATTCTTAGCTGATGAGCAACAAAATCGGTGACGACTACCTAGGTAACCCCAAGAGTGGAAAACAATCCAATTTAAACATAAGACAATGTCAGAACTAAGTTACCTGCATTAGAAAATAGTGAGACAGAAGAACAACAAGGTCATAAATAACAAATACCCACTGTATTACGACCATGAAATAGATGCATTTCGTGTACCATTTGTCTTTAGTGTGACAAGCCATTTAAACTGCAAACCCGAATGTACTTATCTGTGCCTACTCTCATTCTGTTTTGCCTCACACTGTAATTCAATTTTTATACCTGATAATAAGGCATAAAGGAAAGTACAAACAGTATAAAGGAAAAAAAAAATAAATCACACACTATCTACTGAAAAATAATTGGTTTTATGTATTAACTCCTCAGGAGAGAGTATACAGTCACTTGACTTTTCCATGTACTGTAAGGCATGATTAAACTCTTTACCTTTGCAAAAGTATCCAGCTTGTCTTTGTCATACAAGATTCTCAGCATTCCAGCACATAGTGGACAGCAGGCTCCTATGTGAAAAAAAAAAAAATAATAAAAATCTCAGAAATAAAAGCAAATAGTCTTTTTACTTTTAAGTAAGCAGAGGTCAAAAGTTGAAGACTGACTGAGAATGAAAACAGCAAAACTACCAAAGCAAAGTAAAGCTTTCAATGTGGTAACAGAATTGCACAATTCCTAAAACTTAAGGTTGAAAACATTAATAATGCAAAAGGAGTTACCTTTCAGCAAACGTTTGCTACTATCAACGCAGAGCAAGATGAATTTTCATGTTTCCAGATGATACATTATTAAAAGCTAAAAAAGGCAGGCACTGTGTGTGCTACAAGGCAAGGTTTTGTTCGGATGCACCACGCACAAATAGCGAAACAATGAATATTCGTCTAGAGCTGGAATAGCTAGGGCACGACAGAAGCAATTATGCAGGCTGCAAACATTAATTTATGCAGTGATACCACTTTGGAGCTTAGGATCTTTATATAATGAGGAGAGGGGGAAGGGCTTGTCTGACAGATTTGTGTTTAACAAGCATGTCATATTTCTCCCACAGTTTCTCCTCACTCTCTCAGAAACCAAAGGGCTAGTAGTTCAACTTTCTACCCATGACACTATATTTAATTCACCCCTCCTAAATTATTATATATAATACTCATTTGTGACTTTTTACAGTGTTAAATGTAATTCCAAAGCACAAAGACCCTTTTTCAAACCAGTGAATGAGAAAAATTCATAAACCTGTTTTCTTTTTAAAAGCTGATCTTTCCTTGCTCTGTGTATTATCTGTGATTAGTTACTGACTGTTTCATAAAGGAAGCATTCATGAAAATAGTAAAAAAAAACCAATTCAAAAGAGCACAACTGCAAAACTACCCGTCCTGTCTTCCCCTTTCACAGTACTGTAAATACATACAGTATCTTCTAATTAAATATAATCTTTGTTCTTCTGGGAACTCTGACGACAGCGTGGTGTTCCGGTGTGGTATCTGTGCTGCCGCTTCCGAAAAATTGCTCATCCTCTTCCCAGTGCCATTCTACCCTCCACACCACAGACCTCATTCGTTCCTCCCACACCAGTCCTAAAGATTGAAGGAGTACCTCTCCTAAAACCACGGCCTTTCCACTACAGAATTACTCAGCTGAGTTCTGTTACTGCCTTGTTCTAGCCCTAAGTAAAGATCTCTAACTTCAACCTTTCTCTTGGATGTCTCAAAGACATTATGGAAGACAATATTTTAAAGCCTAAGTTTTGTTCCAAATATACGCTGATTTATACACGCAGCCTGGAGACTCTGTCCTACCAGCTGTAAAACTTCACCAGTGAATTCACCTACCTGGTGCAATCACGGGTTTGCAGCCAGTAGCAGAAAGCTGGGGACACTTCACAAAGGCACATTCTGTATGGAAACCATAGTCTGAGAGAACCCCCACGGCCTGGCAGGGCCCGTGATAGTCAACGGCCACGCGGTCGGAGTAGGCAGCACAGACACTGCTGTAGGTTTCTCCGTTGTGTCCACAAACAGGCTCCACCGATTTGCAAAACGGCTGAAAACGCACAGAAATGTTTCAATGGTCATGTTATTCCCACTACGGACAAAACCTAAGAGCAGTTTTAACAGTAGCAAACACGAGGTTCATAGGAATTTGCTGATAATATTGCTAAACATTCAAAAAAAATTTGGAAATTTAGAGTAAATACTCTGCCAGTTTAGGAATGGGTAATAAACGCAAAGAATAAATACTTAAAGAAGGTGACAAAAATGTAAGTTGGAATCTGAGAAATACACAATAAGACATGTTTTGGGAAAGAACATTTTTTTTTGTTCTGTGCTAATGCTTACATAAAATCATAGAATCATAGAATCGTCTAGGTTGGAAGGGACCCTTGGGATCATCGAGTCCAACCATCTACCCTACTCTACAAAGTCCTCACCTACACCATGTCCCTTAGCACTGCATCTAAACGGTCATTTAAATTCTTTTACTAAGTTAAAGACTATTATAATTGTATTACAATAAAGTATCACTATAAAGTATCGTTTTATTAATTTATTAATAAAACATTTGCTACTGCGGTATTTATTGATTAGTATTTCAATGAATTATTAAGAATATATTCATTCATCTCAGTGTGGTTTAGTGTGTACACTCGTGTTGAGTCCCCGTCCCTGGAGGTGTTTCAAAGACCTGTAGATGTGGTGCTGAGGGACATGGTTTAGTGGTGGGCTTGGCAGTGTTAGACTTACGGTTGGACTCCATGATCTTAAAGGTCTTTTCCAACCTAAAGGATTCTATGATTCTGTGTATTTATAAGACATTATTTGAAAAGCTAAATTAATTTCAGAAGAATAAAATCCATTACTAGATACCTTTTTTTATTATTGAGGGCGAGTCACCATCCCTGGATGTGTTTAAGGGACGTTTAGATGGGGTACTGAGGGATATGGTGTAGGGGAGGACTTTGTAGAGTAGGGTAGATGGCTGGATTCGATGATCCCAAGGGTCTTTTCCAACCTGAATGATTCTATGATTCTATGATCTATAAAAATACATTTGTGTCCATTTTCTCTCAAACACATCTAGCATGTCACTTGATTCAAAAACATGTAAAAACCAAAGAAAATTATCATATAGTGCCCTCCTATCCTGCCTGCACATGTACATTAGTATATTTAAGAGGTCAAATGCCAATGAAAGCAAGCTTCTGAACACGGACAGAAACAAATGGAATTGCTGACTCCTTGCAGACAAGGTATGAAAAATACCTTTGTCTAAAGTCTTGTGAAATGACACGACTCTTTCCATAATTTCTTGCGAAGGTCTAAATATTTTATTCAACTAACTAGTAACTCAAGTAAGTCACCACAGCTGTATGATCACTCTATATCCTCTAAAACAGCAAGACTATGACAGTTTCTATGTTACACACCTAAGCCAATGACAAAACAGACAGGGGACAAGTAAATGTGAGCACTCCCAACAACTCTGTATCTTGCCTGGTCTCCAACAAAACTTAGGTTACAGATTCTGAACAACGAACTTGGTAAGCCTGGGCACAATCACACAAAATGCTAAAGACTTTAAATGACTGGGCGTTGATTTTTACTTAAAACAAGCTCAAATTGGTGAAAACTAGCATTTAACTAACCAAGGAACTGCACTAATTTCAGCAAACATACTTCAGTGCAAGCTTTAATACAGAAAAATATAGGAAGACTTAATATAAATATCAGAGTATTACCCCCAAGAAAGCGCAAGTAAAGTCTTTGATTGGTTTTAAGACTCTGAACTAAAGCAGAGAAACACTTGACAAAATTCTGAATATAATTTTGTAAGAGTATTATTTATACTAAGGAAAATTGCATTTTTAAAGGATTACTTTCAGTGAAAATATTTTGTAAGCTATAAAAAACAGAATATCGCAAACTTGAAGATTAAAGAACAAAGACGATTTGACATTTATTGCTGGAACCACTTCCTACCTGGCACGGTCCTCGGTATGCTAAACTTTTTCCTTTTTGGTACAAAGTACACAAGTTACTGTATTCCACATTGTCTGTGTCACAAACAGGATCCCGCGTCTGGTCGCAATTTAACTGCCTTGGCACACATTCATGCTGGCTGCATTCAAACTTTTCAAAACTGGTCAAGCA